GCCGGGAGGGGGCGGGACACACGCCCGCTCAGGTGTCCACGCTGCCGCTGACAGGCGGGTACTGCGGGAGGCAGGGCTCGTAGGGCATGGGGTCCGGGGAGAAGACGGAGTCGTCGCCTGACGAACAGGAGCTCCTGGTGTCGGGGTAGCTGGGCGAGTACTGCTCGAGGGGCTGGCTGAGGTCCAGGTACTCCTGAGGGAAGGACAGAGGCCTGTTATTTCTGTTGTTTTTAAAGGTATTTGTATGCCCTGACTGGTTTGGCTCAGTGGATAGAGCGTCGGCTTTCGGACTGAAGGGTCCCAGGTTCGATTCCGGTCAAGAGCACATACCCGGGTTGTGGGCTCAATCCCCAGTGGGGGGCAGCGGATCAATGATTCTCTCTCATTGTTGATGTTTCTATCTCTTTCCCTCCCCCTTCCTCTCTGAAATCAATAAAAATATTAAAAATAATTATATTAAAAATGGATAGAAAATCCAAATTCCTAACCATGTCTATAAAAAGTTCTACATAATCTGGAGGGAGAGAGAGAAACATCTATGATGAGAGAGAATCATGGATCAGCTGCCTCCTGCACGCCCCCCACTGGGGATCGAGCCCGCAACCCGGGCCTGTGCCCTGACCGGGAATCGAACCCAGAACCTTTTAGTCTGCAGGCCGGCACTCTATCCACTGAACCACACCAGCCAGGATAAGAGAGACGTTTATCTCCTCTCGGGTTGGGTAACCGGTGAGGACGCTGGAGGGGCTGCCCAGGCCCAGGTGTTCCTGAGAGAAGGGACGAGAGGCCTTTTATTCCAAACGCAGGCTCTCGAGAGGTTGGCCCGGGAGCTGGGACAGGACAGGGCACCCTTGAAGGGTTGAGACCCAGCCGCCAGCCGCACCCCACGCCCCCCACCCCTACCCCCGGCTGCACAGCGACCTCCTTGGCCGCAGCCCCATCCCCTCTGGGCTGCCGGCCCTCGGCTTTGTGTTACAACCGTCACCGATGGACGGCTGACCCGTGGGGAACGGTGAGCCCAGCTGGGCTGGAGGCGCTCGGCCCAAGGACTTGCTCACTCTCCTCTGTCCCCTCTCGGGCGCACGGGGCTCAAATTCTAGCCCAGCCCGGCCGTGTGGCTCAGGGGTTGAGCGTCAACCTATGAACCATGAGGTCAGGGTTCGATTCCTGGTCTAGGGCACAGGCCCGGGTTGCAGGCTCCTCCCCGGCCCGGGCCCCGGCGGGGGGTGTGCAGGAGGCAACCAATCGATGAGTCTCTCTCACATCGATGTTTCTCTCTGTCTCTCCCCATCCCTTCCACTCTCTCTAAAAATCAATGGAAAAATATCCTCAGGTGAGGATTAACCAAAAAAATGTTTTTAAAAAATGTCTCACGGCTTTAAAATGATATAAAATGACACGTGAGGGTCCACCCAGCTTCCCCAGAACACGGACATGCGTGTTGGTTGACGCAGCGTCTGTGGCCGCTTCTGGGTCCAGGCAGAGCGGAGCTGTGGCGACAGAGACCATGTGGCCCCGTGTGGAATCCTTCCTGCCCCCTCCCCGCCCTGAAACCAGGGAGAGACCCCTGAACGGGAGCCCCCGGGCCCCACTGCCTCCTGGGGCAGTGCATCGGGGCGTCGCTCCCACACCCAGAGCCAGGCCCCCCCGCCCCCGTCCTATACCGAGAGGCGGCGAGAAGTGCAGACACAGCACAAGCAGCCTGTCGGGTTGTCAGAAAGGAGCCCACAGAATGCTGGCGGCTGAACATTGAAAAGACAAACCCGCCCCCCGCCCCTGATCCACCGCCAGGCCTGGCGAGAGCGAGTCCCATCCGACGGGGCTGCGGCCGCCCCCACGGCCTCCGCGGTAACCACCGGCTGGGAAGAAGCCACCACATCAAGCCCGCGCTTTGCTGACGACGATAAAAGTGAAACTTCGTCCTAAATGGAACCATTTTCCCGGAGCATCTGGCAGTGATTTTCAGACGGGAAGAGACGGGTTTTGTAGCCGCGGCTTCACCGGGTGCTGGTGTGGCCTCGGCCCGCACGGCCCACGGGAAATGTAAACATGACACGCAGCCCAGAGCCTGGCCGTCAGCTCGCCGAACTGGAGGCTCCGTG